TAGAGCCAGCCACTGGCCATCGCGTGGAAGTAGTAGGCACCATAACCGACCCACTGGCTTGGAAATCATGATCACGGGGACAGAAAATTGAGAGTATGTAGTCCCGTTGCAGTGACCGTTTTTGGCCCCTGTTGTAATGTTGGCCACCCTGGTTCACCGCATGTTGGATGTCGCCAATGCGAAACAAGTGGCATTGTTTCCGGTTGATTATTGAGAGAATATGCCTCGGCGCCGTCAATCCCGCCCGTGATTTGTTAACCAATCATGGGCTGGCCGGCAGCCATCCGTTTAACTCCCTCTCCCGTCTTCCGCGGGTGGTTCCCAACCATCGCGCGGGACAGAACCCGGCGGATTTCCAGAATTCCCTAGTTAGTGGCGGGGCAGATCGTGGCTCGGGGGTCGCAGTAGTCTGATGACGATGAAAGAAGGCTCTTTTTTCCCCCGGGGGTTTTTTTGATTAAGGAGAAGTCATGCGAGATCTATCATCCCACTAAGTCACACTAAAACCAGACCACTGGAAGAAAGGGCCGGCGCCGATCATCTTTAACTAAGACGGATGATTTAGCGCGCTGGGAAACCGCCTCCTGCTGTTCCCCGGGGGCCCGGTGCTCAGGATCCATCAGGATCCATCTCTTGTCCGCTAGACAAAATAGGGCAAGTATCGCCCCCTTCCTTCCTGACCGGACCTGGGGGCCCGGTTGAATACCAACGTATTTGACAGTTGACTATGATGTATGTATTCGCCTTCAGCAACTATTATAATATGCGACCAGGTCGTGAAACCGGTCAGCATTTGGGCAGCGATTCCACAACCGCCGACTGGTCGGAAGACCGCCGTGGGATTCCCCGTGTGAAAAGATGACGATACTGGTCGGAGATCAGCTTTGATTTGAGGTTTGCCATTGGTTTTCCACTGGTCCTTGCCTCCAGGGTGTTTCTTCCGCCCCCTTTGGACGGTGCTTGAATTGGATAGCCCCGATCTGAGCTTCCCTGGAATTATGATTACGGTACGAAAAGAAAATTCAATCAAAAAATAATAAATCAATTATTTTTTCCTTGGTGGGTCTGATTATTATGCTATGATCCTAATCCAACAATTTTACTCTGCATCCTGCAGCTTCTGTACAGCTGTTACCAAAATGTTCATGGGGGTTTGACGTTTGGGCTCTGTGGCGCTCGATCTCATCGAGCTTGACTCTATAGATGGGACCTATCCACCGTAAAACACCCGGCTGGGATTTTCATATAATATCCTCCCCTTTCCCCTCCGGACCGGTTGGAATGAACTCCCTGTCTTCTTTGTGATCTGCTCGTCGCAATTTATTAACCTCTGTCTTGCCTTGGACCTCCCACGCCCTTCCCCAAGATTCTTCATAGATCCCTTCCCCATTCTTCGCTCGCCCTTCCTCCAAACCTCCGAGGGGCCGTCTCCTTGATTTGCCTTTAGAAACTTCCGAGGTCATTATTGTGTCAAGGCCCTCCCTTGCTGGTGTCTCATTTATCGCCCCGATAGGGTTCAACCGCAGGGGGAGCAATGCTGATGCCCTAAACGCCAGAAAAGAGGCTCCTTGCTCCGATATACCGCCAGCCTCCACACCAATTGCATTCTCTCCCTTCCGAGCCCTGTCCCATTAACCTGGGGAAACTGTCAGAAAACAAAAGCACGGCCTTTCGTACTTTTTTTTTCTTCTTGTCACACCTACCTGGAGACGCGGGGCCTGTGATTTTCTTTTTCTGGTTTCTCCCTCTTTTCTTGTTTTTGCAGACAAAATGTTCCAACGGCCATCCTGTTTACAGGGCCGGAGGCAGCGCAATGGCGCTGGTGAAGACTGGTCTGCATTTCCTGTCCGGCAATTGTTTGTTTTAGGTAAGTCCAGTACTTTTGCAAAGCGATCCAAATATGCGAACGATAACCCCGGATTCTGGGGACTTTGCAACAACAACGGTGACCATGGGTTCTAACTATGCTTTCCAGCGCTTTGCCGCATTTGCGAGCCCATCGCGTTCATGTCGATTTTCCCCTACGTCTATCGCATGGTCGAGTCATTCCATGTTACGGATAACGACGGCAAGATTGCGCTGTATGCCGGCATGATCACCTCGTCCTTCACCTTCGCCGAGTTTTCGGCGGGCATGTTCTGGGGCCGTATGAGCGATCGAATCGGCCGCAAGCCCGTTCTGATTATGGGCCTGGTGGGCACGGCGATCAGCATGGTGGTGTTCGGATTTGCGCCCAACCTGGCAACTGCCATGATTGCGCGCGCGCTGGGTGGCCTGCTGAACGGGAATATCGGCGTGCTGCAGACGACCGTCGCAGAGATCGTGACTGTCAAGGAGCACCAGCCGCGAGCTTACTCGATCATGCCCTTTGTGTGGTGCTTGGGCTCCATCATCGGGCCGGCTCTGGGCGGTGCTTTGGCCCAACCGTGCGAAAACTACCCTTCGGTCTTTGCGCGCAATACGCTGTTCGACCGATTCCCCTTCCTGCTGCCCAATCTGGTGTGTATCACCGTGTTGGTGTGTGGCGTCGTGGTCGGCTTCCTGTTTCTGGAAGAGACGCACCCGGAGAAGAAGCACCGTCGTGACCCCGGTCTTGAGCTCGGGCACTGGCTCGTCAGCCAATGCTGTGGCTCGCGGGTCCAACTTCCCGACGATTCCGACGTGAGCGCTGAGGAAACCAAGTATTTCGTGTATGGTGACGTGCCACCGGACTATGACTGCGCCGAATCAACGCCGCGCATGAGCTCTGCGATGGACCACCCTGCAGATGCCGATCTGGAAGGGCAGAAACGCCCTGCGCCCAAGGCATTTACCCGACAAGTCATCTTGACTATCGTGGCTTACGGGATTCTTGCATAGTGAGTTAGCCCTAACGCCGCCTCAAAAGAGACTGATGCTGACATGACACCCTGCCTGCAGCCACAGCGTGTCGTTTGACCAGCTGATGCCGGTCTTCCTGAGCACTCCCAAATCAGATGCCGAAGTGGTCCTGCCTCTCAAGTTCACTGGCGGCCTTGGCCTGATGACCAAGACCATTGGGCTCATGCTCGCCGTCCAGGGCGTGTACTCGATGATTGCCCAGCTCTGGCTCTTCCCATTCGTGGTCAAGCACTTTGGCACCCTTCGGACCTTCCGCTTTGTGCTGATGATCTGGCCACCGCTTTACATGGCCGTGCCCTATCTCATCCTGCTTCCAGCCAAGCTGCAAATGCCCGCCGCGTACGTGGCATTGATCAGCAAGATCACCTTCCATGTCATTGCCTTCCCTGCAACTGCCATCATGCTGGCCAACTCTGCCCCGTCTTCGAAGGTGCTGGGCTCCATCAACGGCGCCGCGGCCTCCGTCGCCAGCCTCAGCCGGGCCTTTGGTCCCACGGTAACCGGCCTGCTGCACTCCAAGGGTCTCGGTAGTGGGTACTCCGTGCTCGCCTGGTGGGCATGCGGTCTCGTCTGCGTGGTCGGCGCCATTGAGAGCTTCTGGATGGAGGAGCCACCAACGCCCGATCGGTTCAAGCAATCTGAAGTCAACGAGTCTGAGCTGAAGCAAAACGCCCTCTCCGATTTCACCCCACGAAACTCCACTACCTTGCCGGAGGAGGAGCAACGGCTCCTCTCTCTCCGCTCCAGCATTGACCACGACTTTGACGCCTCGACTCTGGACTTGACCGCCGTTGAGAGGTTCACTCGGTCCGAAACCGATCCCTCAGCGGCTCGCGTCTAGATCCACATCTTTCTCTTTCTCTCCCGAATCCTTCCGTGCAGGACATGTTCATTTCCGGCGCTATTGCGTACCATCGTCTCAACATGGGATTGATTCTCTTTTTCCTTTCTCACCGACATACCAAAATTATTTCCTTTTCCTTTTCCTCTTGATGAATGATTTCTTCTCTTCTCGAGACCGGGCCACGGCGCAAATGATATAGATGGATGCATCTGCGAACGCATGACATTCGGGTCTCTCTTTTTCTTTTTCTCACTCTTATTTTTTTCCGGAGCATGGACTGGTTATACACTTTTGACGATACTCATGTGCATCTGGGAGGCTTTCTGTGATTTCCGCGTTGTTGTTATACACTCAAGCATTCGCTATATGTCTCCGACATTTAGGTACCTTATTTATGGCTATTTTTATATTCCGTCTGACCCAGTACCTGCACTTAGGGCTCCACCGGTGTGCAGCCAAGGTGTGACCCGATATGTTGTATCTCTTTAAGCCGCTCCCCAGACTCTTGTCTCAACTGTTAACCCCAGACTTGGTTGCTTCTCCACCAATGGCTGGCCAAGAATCCCGGCCGGGTCCACCCAGCCTGCGATGCCATTCCCGAGGACAAGTGCCACGCTCCAAGACATAGCCAATTGCCGGACAACGGTCATTGATTACTCGATCAGATCCTGCATGATCGCGGTGGCCTTCCCGTTGCACATCTGCCGCGATTCTGGGGAAACCGAATGAACCCGAGTTAGGGTGTGGTGTCTTGCATCCAGGGTTCCCGAGGGCAACTACTTGATCTGGTTTGCTGACTGGCCCTTTGCTCCACCAGAGCCCTAGGTCGCAACTACGGTCACCTTGCAACCTTCCGAGGTCGCCTGCTCTCCGATCTCCCTCCTTTGCTCGGACGACTATTACTTGATCAAACATCTTCAGCTCAATCATCTCGTGTGCTAAACCGCCGTGGTAGATCCCGTGCACGCTCACCTCCCGACTCGGCCCATCTCGGAGGATAATCAGCCCCCGGGGCGGCACTTGCGCCGCGGAGAGCAGCACTGCGACAAAGTTGGGACCCGCCACGTTACCGTAGCCATTGCGGACTGTCTCCCTTTCTCGTCTGTGGGATCGCGATACCCGTCCGTCTGCTGTGCGCCGACCTTCACCAGGACATTTTACCTATCATGCCCGTTGATCGGTCCAGCTGTTCCCGACCGCCGTCTCCGCAATAGCGACTCCACCACGCAAGAAGAGATGATCGCAAGTCTGCGACACTCAACACTCGTTTGTCACCATGCCGAAATCCCCTTCCCCGCCATCTTCGGGGAAGAAGAGACCGCATCCCTCCAGCGAAACCCCTCCAACCCAGTCCGACAATACCGCCAATAACCCCTCCACTGCAACCAATCTCCCCTCCACCTCGCCCGCGCTGTCCACCACGACCTCGTCCTCTGCGTCCTCCTCATTCCGCAATGTCTCGGCCTGCAATCGCTGCCGTCTGCGCAAGAACCGCTGCGACCAGCGTTTGCCGCGATGCCAGTCCTGCGAGAAGGCGGGGGTGCGCTGTGTCGGCTACGACCCCATTACCAAGCGAGAGATCCCGCGCAGTTATGTCTATTTCCTGGAGACCCGGGTGGCCTATCTCGAGAAGCAGCTGGCCATGCATAATGTCGAATTCAAGAAAGCGGTAGCCTTCGACGAAGAGGAAGCGGTCAAAGTCGAGACCGAAGGTGATTCCCACCGCGGTGATGGCACAGCCGGCGAGGCCTCAACTGCGGATAAGGCACAAGGGAGGAATCCAAGAGTGAAAGAAGAGTCTGCCGACCAAAACTTCGACGGTGATGCGGCCCGCGATGGAGATGGAGACGAGGAGAACTGGCGACTACACAATCTAGTGTCGAACATTGGCATGGTCTCGGTGCAAGGAACTTCTGATCCTCGATACCTGGGCTCTACATCCGGGATTTCGTTCGCGCGAGTTGTGTTTGCTGCCGTACGGAGCTCTCTTCCGGGCAACATGCCGGACCGCGCTCCGGTCCGTACGAGTGAACGTCTGCCCCAGGGCGCTGCCGGCGCCCCCGGCGTTGGCGGGGGGTCGATGCGAGATTCGTTTTTCGGGCTGCAAACAAGACCGATGATGAAACGAGCTGCCTTCCCAGATCGGGAGCTCGCCGAGAGGCTAGTTGACCTGTATTTTGAACACGCGAATCCTCAGATGCCCATTCTCCATCGAGGCGACTTCATGGAGCTCTTGGACCGCACATATCAGTTAGAGGAGAAGAACCGATCTCCCCGGGCCCTCTACACCCTCAATATCGTGTTTGCCATCGGCGCGGGCGTCATTTACGACGATAAGTCCCAAGGCTCAGATGACGAAAGTCGCTCTAGCCGCGACCGGTCATCATCTACGTCGAAAAGACCGAGACTCTCAAGTCATCAGTATCAACCAGAGGAATACCATGCATCTGCGATCATTCACCTGGAGTCATTCCTTGGCTCCTCGTCCAGCGAAGGCTTCGGCGGGCTGGAGGAGCTTCAAGCAGTGCTTCTCTTAGCCAGCTTTGCCTTGCTGCGGCCGGTTGCTCCCGGTCTCTGGTACATCGTCGGAGTTGCTACGCGCTTGGCTGTGGACCTCGGACTTCACTACGAGGACGGGGTAGGCATCGATTCGGGTGCGAAAGATGGCAGCCAAACCAAACCGCGCATCGACGCCCGCGAACGAGGCCGGCGCGAATGGGTGCGTGACCTCCGCCGTCGTCTGTGGTGGTGCGTCTACAGTTTCGACCGTCTTGTTGCGACCTGCGTCGGACGGCCGTTCGGCATTAGTGATCAAGCGATTAGCACCGAGTTCCCGTCTATGATGGACGACAAGTTCATCACTAAAGCTGGCCTCCTAACACCTCCCGATGGCACCCCGACATATAAGCACGTCGCATTCCATTACTTCAAGCTCCGTCTCCTCCAATCCGAAATCCACGATGTCCTCCAATTCCAACAGGCGCGTGCCGTACGAAGAAGAGCTTCGAGCGGCACCGTTATCCTTCCTCATGCCGAACTTACCTCTCCTTTCCTCCAGGGCTTTGACACCTTCCGCTCCTGGCGCCACGATGTACATCGTCGTCTGGTGGAATGGCTCGAGACCGCCCCGACACGCTCCGACACTGGCGTGCGATTCTCTATCGAACTGCTTGAGCTGAATTATTGGCAAGCTATTATTCTGCTGTATCAACAGAGTTTGACTGTTCCCGCTGAACTGGCGAGCGAGTTGACTCCGGATGACGTTTCTAGTCCGTCTTTCTCTAATGTGGATGAAGGCGACGAGGAGGACCACGTTTACCTCAACGTAGCTGAGGCTGGTCAGAAGGTGATTCGGATTTATCGTCAACTTCACCGGGTGCGCTTGGTCAACTACACTTATCTGGCCACCCACCATATTTTTATGGCTGGTACGAACGATGCGTCTCCCTCTCTTGTTCGTTGTCATGTCATTAACACTGTTCTTCTAGGAATTTCCTTTTTGTATGCGATCTGGCATTCGCCCCTGGTGCGAAGCCGTTTGGTACGTTTTTCGAGTATCCTTTTGCTCTTCACCTTGTGCTCATAATTTGTTCCTCAGACACTCGACGAAGTCGATTTCACCGTTCTTGCTGCAACCTCAGTTCTTGGGGACTTGTTCCATAAGTGTCCTCCCGCAGAGGCTTGCCGAGATGCCTTTGAGCGCATGAGCAAAGCCACTGTCCAGATGTGCCTGTCCACCACCGGCTTCGGGTCGCAGGTTGACATGAGCCGCATCCAAGCCACTACGCGTTCAGGCGGCTCTTTCCAGTCTGGTGGACCACGGCAACCGTCGATGGACCAGCGGCCACACCTTGGCCAAGGCCAGGCTCGGCGAAATACGCAGACCCGCGTCACTCGCCCGCCTCCTAAATTCGACATGAACCTGGCGGATTTGTTCAACGACAATACTCCGCTTGCCGATCGGTCTCGACCTGGAGGGCCATCTTTCCCTGTCCGCTCAGAGTTCACGGACTCGTCGGCTCCCGGCTTCGCCGCTGACCGCTCTTCTCGGCAATTCGGTCAGCGCACCCCTTCTATGGAGTACTATCTCAAGTACGAGAACCCAGGGTCTCCACAGCCCCCGCCACAGTTCTTCTATGGGGGTTCGCCTGGTTCACCTGGTAGTGTAGCCGCCAACTCCGGCAATGGGCCCCACGCCGTCCCACCTACTGAGGCCGACGCGCAGCAATCAGGCATCAGCCTCGATTTCTTGGATTTTGGGTCTGGGGATGCGGAGAACGCAGCCGGCATGGACCCCGATGTCAATGCGGATTACAGTTTGGCGAACATGCCCTCTCTCGGCCATAATTTGGGCCAGAACGTGGGGATTGATCTGGGGTTCGGTATGGCAGTCGACTTCCAGCATGATTGGAGTGAGAATCCCAACTACGATCTTTTAGAGGGCTATTTCTTTGGCGGTTCGGGAGCAGGCGCTTCTGGTGGTGATGCTTAGATGATTTTTCTTTCCTTTGGGTTGTTCCTTTTTCCTCCCTCCCTCCCTATTTATCATCTTTTGATCGCCTTTGGATTTGTGTTATATTTATTACTGTCCCTCCTTTTTGTTATGCGTTTATTGGGCATAGTTCAAGAGGCTCATGGGTGAAAATGGACTGTTCTGGGTTCTGGGGCAAGGGTCTGTTTCTGATCTGGCTTGGTTTTGTACATGTCTGCGTTTGGATACCATCTAAAGAGATATACATACAATAATCCGTTTTATTTAGAGACCTTGCGGTGACAGTGGTTGTCGGCTGTAGACGCTCCAGTGTATGCTCCCTATTGATGCCTAAGGCGGCAACCAACTCTTCCTCCCAAACAAACAACCGATCATTTTTCCCTCTCGTTCTCACGCTCTTCCCACAGGACCAACGCACAAACCTTCTTACCTCTTTTGCATGCCTTTCTCCATTCAGTGACGGTGGGATCTACCGCCTCTTGTTGGTCGCTTTGCCCCAACGCTTGGGCCATTCTGCCTGACCGTAACGCCATCAGCTGCTGCCCGCTCGATCGGCAATCTCTACGATCGTCGCGCGCAGCTGTACTGTTGTCACTCTTTTTCTAGACTAACAAAACGTGTCACTCTCTGGTTAGGAAGCGTGCGCCCCGTTTCCTGTCATCTCACTGAACCGTCACCGAACCGTTTTGCCCTTGTCCTTGCTGAGTCGGCGCCTGATCAACGCATTCACCGCTAGCCGCTTGAGCCTCGTGATACTGTGATTCTCAGAACGAGCCTCTTCCTTGCTCTGAGACGCCCTCTCTCTAGGGTACTTTCTGCGAGGATACACTGCCGGCCTTCGACTATCTGTCGCCTTCGCGTCTGTCGCGTCAGTACCGCAGGTACCCCCTCCAGTTGGGCCTGGATGCGAAAGTGACGCGCCGGAAGACGTATTTCTGAGCCAAGTTTCTATGACTTGTCATGGGCGAAACAGTTGATTACCCGCTTGACCACCTATTATGCACTTTGAGAACCAAAGAACTCCATAGAGTCACCGTCGGCACGGTATCAACATGGTGAAAGCGGATGTGCGGAGGGATTACTACGCGGACCTAGGTCTTGCGCCCAGCGCGGAAGCTGAGGATATAAAGAAGCAATTCAGGAAACTAGGTAAGTGTGACCGAGACAGTAGTTAGAAGCCACCACTGACTTTTTGGGTGTGGGTAGCACTGAAGTACCACCCCGACCGAAACCCGGGCAAAGAAATCGAGTTCAACGCCAAGTTCCAGGCCATCCAAGCGGCAAACGAGATCCTTAGTGACCCTCAACAACGGTTGAAATATGACACGGACCGGCTACGCGCTGGATATGGGAAGTTTTATGGACCGCCCAAGGCAAATACGCCGCGGAAAGCTCAGCCGAGCAGTCGTGCGCCTACATCGGCTTCGAAATCGCAGAGCCAGAAGCCCCCCTACTCTCGCAAACCACAGCCCCCGCCAAACGAGCCCCCGCCAAATGGCCCGTCATTTGGAGCCCAACGATATGCATCTCATGCTCGAGCAGGACCCCAACAATGGCATAATGCACAGGATGAGGCGCAGACGAGGGCGGATGCTTTCCGGGGATTCCAAGGCATGAGAGGAAACAACAAAACGCAAGGCTGGCAACAGTTTGATCCTAGGACTGGACGCGCAGCTCCCTCATCTGGTGCTGCGCCGAGACAGAATGCACCTTTCGGACAGCAAGGCCCACGCCCTAAATCTGCATATGAATACTTCAAAGCTCCGCCACCGACAGCGTCGAATCCAACGTCACCCAAGAAGAAGCAGGGGTTTGCACCGGGAACTGCAGGAGGGGACGAGCCCATGGCCCGCGGTACCTCTGCCTACACTACTAATCATCGGACGGACCGACCCTTCAGCTATATCGACCCTGAGCCATCTCCTATGGGGGGATATAGTAGCCGCTACGCCGGGACCGGAGGTGAAAAGACCTTCTTTGCGAGCCCTAAACTCAATCGTTCCGCAACCATGCGCACTCCTTCAGGTTCATATCGACCCAGTTCGAGCGCAGATCATCCCATCTCTTCATCCGGCCAACCGGGACGGCATCACAGTGCCAGCCCCAAGGACCGATCCACGCGATCTCGAAACATCTCCATATCATCGAGTTCCAGTGATCTGGATGACGACTCCGAGTCTGATTCCGACGAGGTGAACGTTGGCCGCACCGGCGCATTCAAACCAAAGGCCGTGCCCAAGAGCCGCCTTCGCCCCCACCAGAAATTCGCCGACTTCCATCGCGAGGATGATTCCAGCCCCGGTGAGGACCCCTTCCCCCAATGGACCCCTTCAAGCTTTGCGCACTCGTACTCCCCGCCTCCGCCGCCGGATTTCTCCCAAACCTGGAGACCACGGAATCCCCCTCGATCATGGATATATGATGCACTTGCTGACAGTGACGACGCAAAAGGACATAATTCGGATAGCGCGGCGTTCCCCAAAGGATCATATCGACCGGATCAGAATCCCAGGTTCCAGGGCTCTAGCACTAGGTATGATGTCCGACAGTATCCATCACCCAGACCATACTAACGTGATCTGTGTAGGACTGATGCGTCTTCCAATACGGCGAACCATTATTTCGGAGAATTTGGGCGTAACAGCCCCAGCAACCTACATAAGAAGTTCTCCGCCGAGGACTGGAGAGATCATCTGACCCAGTTTACCTTCATGGGCCAGCAACCTTCAGATAAGGAGGCGTTCCGCCGGCCGACAAGTTCCCGGAACCGGGGCCGGGCGTCGACTCAGAATGGATCTACCCTGCCAGCGCAGTCACCTGCATCAGCTAGTGCGAATCCATTTGTTGATACCTCTCACTACCCAAAAGCCCAGCCAGTGGAGCAGCCACCTACTCCATTCGCGAAAGCAACCTTCTCTGTGGACCAATGGGCCGAGCAGTTACAGAACCTTTCGTGGAATGTGCCCGAGACAGACAAGTCCCGGCCGTCGGCAAATATCCCGCATTCTCGAAGTCCCAAGAGACCCCCACGATCCGGTGTCAAGGTCCGAAGCGCGCCACAACCAGCGAGCGTGGCAACCGAAGCGGAGGAAGTACATGGGACGGCTAATGGCAACATTCCTGCCGAGTCAGCTCACGCCGCGCCCGCGGACGCTGAGGCGATGGATCTAGATGACGATCTTCCTCCCCCGCCGCCTCTGTCGTCCATGCCCGAGAAAGGGCCCGCTGGAGAACCCCGAACTGCAAACTATCCCGACTTGCCATCGCATGCTTCTAAAGATGCACCCACGCCGACCAAAAAGCCTCGATCACAGTCTCGGACAGAGGCCAATAGCTCGAGCGCAGAAACTCGCGCGCCGCTCTTCGACCTCGATAATCTGCGGAACACGGCCCCGTTCAGCAGCGCAAACGGCGGCATTGAGAATTTGCAAGAGATGGGCGACACCCTTCCCTTCCAATCTCAGGCGAAGCCGCCGACCACGACGAAGCGTGACATCCGGCCCCGAGAGTTGAATTGCCCAAACCCACCCAAACGGCCGCGCGCACCGGAGCCGGCTCCTGCTCGCGCCGGATCACAGCAACTCGCTCTGTCACGCGAGCAGTGGTCCCGCTACGTGTCCGAGATGACGACGTATATGCGGGAGTGGAACCAATTCAACCGCCGCATGCTTCAGCATTTCATTGCCCGCCAGGAGGCCGTTGAAACCGGGCTCGCGCCGCGCTGGATCAGCGCCGTAGGCGACAGTGCACGCTTGAATCTGAATGGCGGCGATGGCGACGGCGACCAGAGTGGGATCAGCGAAGACACCGACAGAAACGAGGACGAGGAGACGCTCGTCCCCGGCAGTGGCAAGGGTGGATTTAGCGCGTATCTGCGCGGAATCGAGGAGGATATCCAGGTGCGCAAGCACTGGGAGGTGGCGTGTGAGATGCACCGCGAGTGTATCCTGGACCTGGGCCGTCTGCGGGAATGGATTCGCAATGGAGGGAGGGTGATGTGACCATAAGACGGACATTGGCGCTTACTGCATCTTGCCTAGCATTTCTCTTTTTAGAGTGTTTTGGTTCTGGGGCGTTGGTGGGAGCTTCTCTCCGCTTCATTTGTATCTTTTCTTGTTTTATGTTAGATGAAATACCCCGAATCTAAGCCATCTCGACTACTTGAACGCCCAGCCCTAAACGTACCTGCCCCAGGCACTCAGGCATCCAAATACTTTACCCCGCCAATACGCCCAAATGACGGATTAAAATACATAAAATACACTTTGAAATAGTAAAGCGTGAGTCACGCCATCTATTTAATAGCAGGATCAATTCTTGGCCCTCCTTCTCTTCTTCTTTTTTTTCGTCTACTTGTATGTGAGATACTTCCCATTGCCCTATTGTGGTGCAATTGGCCCATGAAAGAAAAACCCTGACTGACTGACGCACGTATCCAGAGCCCCGCCGCCGGTCATCGGACTCGCCTTCTCTCTTCCGCAAACTTCGCCAACTCGCAACTCGAGCAAGTCAATTGATCGCAATACGACTCTCCGTTTGGTTTTTGGGACCTCGCGGTTTACTTTCTGTCTGCGTCATCATGGTTACCATCGTGCTGGGCAGTCAATGGGGGGATGAAGGTGCGCAGAGCCGTCTCCGGCGGACGCCGCCACCGATGAGAAACTGGGACGGACGAGACTAACGATGACAATTAGGCAAGGGAAAGATCACGGATATGCTGTCGCAGCAGGCGACGCTCTGCTGCCGCGCCGCAGGTGGTCACAGTACGTTTTTCTTTTCTCTCATGGGAACCACAACCAGACCAGACACAGTCGACTAACCGCCGCTGCGAATTTTCGCTCTGCCAAAATAGACGCCGGCCACACAATCGTCCACAAGTCCGTCACATACGACTTCCACATCCTGCCCTCGGGCCTGGTCTCGCCCGCATGCGTGAACCTAATCGGTGCCGGCACCGTCTTCCACGTACCCAGCTTCTTCAAGGAGCTGGCCTCCCTCGAGGAAAAGGGCCTGACCACCGCCGGCCAGCGCATCTTCGTCGCGGACCGCGCCCACGTCTGCTTCGACCTGCACTCTGTCGTCGATGGCCTAGAGGAGGCTGGTCTCGGCGGCCGCAAGGTCGGTACTACCGGGAAGGGTATTGGGCCCTGCTACAGCGATAAGGCGGCGCGGAGGGGTGTGCGCGTCGGCGAGATCCTGGACGAGGAGGTCTTTGAACGGAAACTCCGTGCGCTGGAGAAGTCGTACCGCTTGCGATTTGGGGAGTTGGCGTATGATGTTGAGGAGGAGATTGCGCGGTTTAAGGTATTTTACCCCAACCTTAATTGTCTTTCTTTTGCAAATTGCAATTGCATGCACGGTGATTGACGGTGGCTGACTGTGATTGACAACGACTTGCAGGAATACCGCGCGCGCCTGAAACCCTTCATCGTCGACCAGCTCGAGTTCCTCCAGAAACACGAGTCCTCGCCCAACACCTTAGTGGAGGGTGCCAACGCACTCATGCTGGACCTAGACCACGGCACATACCCATTCGTGACGTCGTCATCAACAGGCCTGGGCGGCGCCGTGCAAGCACTTGCCCTGAACCCCATGAGCATCAAGTCCGTGATCGGAGTGGTGAAGGCCTACACGACGCGCGTGGGATCGGGCCCGTTCCCGAGCGAGCAGCTCAACGCAGACGGCGACAAGCTGCAGAGCGTGGGGCGGGAGTTTGGCGTGACGACCGGCCGTCGTCGACGCTGCGGATGGCTCGATCTCGTGCTGTGTCGCTACTCGCATGCTATCAACCACTACACTGCGCTGAACCTGACCAAGCTTGATGTGCTGGATGACTTTGAGGAGATCAAGGTCGGTGTTGCGTATATTCTTCCCGATGGGAAGAGGACGACTGGGACTTTCCCGGCCGATGCGTCGGTGGTCGAGAAGATCCAGGTCGAGTATGTTACTCTCCCCGGCTGGAAGTGCAGCACTATGGGTGTTACCCGCTACGAGGACCTCCCTCCCAACGCGCGTGCCTACATTGAGTTTATTGAGCGTGAGCTCGGCGGCGTCCCTGTCAAGTGGATTGGTACTGGTCCCGCGAGAGAACACATGATTGCCCGTGATTAGCTAGAGGGTCTGTGGTTCTGACTGATTGATCATGTCTTTTTCCCTTATGAGTTGAGTCGAGAGTTACTGGTCTTTCTAATCTGCAGGATATCTGGGGCATGTTTTCTTTTCTTTTTGTTTTCTGCTACTAAAGGTATATATCTCATCAAAATGGACATGCTAGAGTTTAGATGGATCGAGAGCACCAAGTACGTAGACGGATTTGAATGTGTGGAAATGTTGAGATTGGTCAGACAAATTTTATATACCGTACATGAATAAAAGATATGGCCTGTTCTTGTTTATCCGCGCCCAAAGATCAAGTAATACAAACAAGTAAACAGAAATAGTGGTAGTACAATGATCGAACCGATCAAGAAAAGAGACTAACGCCACCCAATGCAAGCAAGGATGGCCGATTCGCAATCTTCATCATGTCCTCTTCTCCTAGGGAAGGGGGACTACTAGTACCGGCGGCCGTAGGAAGGAGACTTCCGGGAATCCCGGCGCCTATCACCGAAATCCCCAAAATTGGATCGAGACGATGATCGTCCAAAATCGGATGATCGCCCAGAGCCGGATGGTCGCCCAAAGCTAGACGGCCGACCAAAGCCAGATCTGCGGTCCATGGCGCCGAACATATCATCATCAGAGTCGCGATCGCGGCCGCGACGAGACTCATTGACCTTGAGGAGATCGGGCATACGTTTGAAGCCTAGTTGCTGGACGAATTTGGAGGACACGCCCGGCGCTTCGGGCAGACTCCAGCCGATAGTGGCGGTGTCGTTCACGATCTGCACCAGCCTGCGCTTGTTGTGGATAGAGCTCTTCAGGTTACTCATCAGAGGCTGGAAGGCATCTTCTCGCTGTCTGGGGGGAATGTTTGTCATGGCTTGCTGGATTTGCTTGATAGTCTCGATTGTCTCCTCAGGAGTTGTCTCGTCGGGTCTCGCGGCGGCATCTTCTCCAGCTTCTTCGGACGCGGTATTCACAAACGGGGTCATACGCGCAGAGGCTGCGGGGATAGAGGTCGAGTCGTTGGTGAGGGGGAGGTCGCCCAGGATGTCCTGGAAATAGCCATACTGGGCGTCGTGGAGGAAAAGCCAGCCTTCACCGGTCTTGCCGGCACGTGCCGTGCGGCCGAGCCGGTGAACATATGTCTCCCGGGTCTGAGGGATACCGATCTGGATAACATGGGTGACGTTCGGGAAGTCCATGCCACGGGCTGACACGTCGGACGAAAAGAGGATAGCCTCTGACGAACGACGGAAGTCTTCGGCATTCCTGGTCCGTTCTCTCTGGCTGAGGCGTGAGTGCAGTTCAAGAAGATTCATGCGACCAAGAGGAGACTGGAAGCGTCTGCGAGGGTCGGAGAGATTGTTGAAGGCCTCGGCTGCGATGCGGACCTCGGCGGTGGAGTTGAAGTAAACAATAGCCTTGAAGGGACGCAGGGAAGGGTCGTCTTGTTGCTTGGCCTTGTAGTTCTTGGCCATTTCAAGAATAGCGGGCAGGGCGTTTTCATATCCTCTCAGAACCACGCTCTTCTGCGGGACAGTCAGGTGTGTTGGCACCTCGTCCTCGCGGATGGTCTTGACAAAGTTGAAGCCCGGCTTCAACGTGCGCCGCACCATAGTCATAACTTCCCGAGGAACAGTAGCCGAGAACATGAGCGTTTGGCGGTTCACCTCCTGCGCGGACGGCAGCATGCGCTGGATTTCCATGATGTCGGGCGCAAACCCGTCGTCCAGGAGCCGATCGGCCTCATCCAGAATCAAAGTGTTCAGCTTGGGAACTTCCACTCCGTTTCTTGGATCCGAAAGGATATCTTTGAGACGGCCGGGGGTGCCAATAAGCAGGTGGCAACCCTCCTCTTGGATTCTTCGCAAGCCGGAGGCCTTGTGACTGCCGCCCACCGCGGTCCGCACTTGCAGACGAGTACCCGCGGCGAGCTTTTTCGCCTCGACCGCAATCTGTTCCGCGAGTTCTCGGGTAGGTGAGATGATCAGGGCGCGGGTGTCCGTGGGGTCGCAGTATCGCCCGCGCCGGTCCTGGCGGAGGGTGGGATCGTTCAGGATGTTCTGCATGGCAGGAACGAGGAAAGCGAGTGTTTTGCCGGTTCCCGTTTTGGCTTGAGCCAAGCTAGAAAAGTCCCGAGAAAAGTCAGTGATTATCTCTCACACTCAACCCAATGAACTTACACATCGCCGCCTCCCAAAACCTCATGCAAAGTCTGGCTCTGCACAGGGGTCATAGTTGTTAATCCCATCCGTCTGCTGTCGGTGATGTTCCGAATAATGCTCGGGTCGACGAATCCTTGTCTCTCTAGGTCGCGGAACTCGGTGATGATCTCTGTTTGCGCGGAGTCATCCTCAATCTCATGCGCCTCTGCAGTCGCAGCCTTCAAAGCAGGAAATGAAGCGTGAAACGAGCGCGCAGCGACCGGAAACGACGGCGCGGAGAGAGGCTGCCATTTCAACAGTTGCGAGCTCCAGCGCGTAGCCGCGGATAGTGAGCGCGGCGCGGAGGCTCGCAGGACGTTGGAGACGCCGAATCGACGAACAGCACCCAGCATTCTCAAGATGCTGATTGGGTGTCGATAAAAAAAAAGAAGAAGAAAAGGATGGGCGAAGGCGAATACCAACCGAAAAAGCCAGGGGAGAAAATGAAAAAAATAATAGGGACGATCACCTGACTGCTTATCTTATCAACGGGGTTATATCTTCTCTAAGCTACGCCAGTTCGCACTCGATCAGGCTCTCAAGGTCATTCTGCGCCGTCCAGATCTTCACAATTCGAAGCCCTACAGACTCCAGCAGCGCATGCCATTGCACTCACTGCGCTCACAAGGATCCACCATCATCATGATCAAGCCCAGGCTCGTCGCCTCCCAGTACGGACCCGCGTCAGGAGGACGGCAGCCAGGAAAGTATCCTGCGACCGGAGGGCGGGGGCATATGATAGTGGGCAACGCTGGGTGTTTCCGACGAGACTAATGCGGATTTCATGTCGTGTCCTGTCAGATCAGATCAGATGAGACCAAATCATCGAATCAACGAAGATTTCTAAAGAAAAAGCAATCCATGGGTCTGGGTCTCGGAACCTAGTAAGGTGAGTAAGCGGGACTTGTGTCAATTTCAAATCAAGGGGCGCCGGTTTGTCATCAGACCTTTTTTTGCTTTGAAAACCACCATTTACTTCAAGGAGAGAAATGTCTATATAATTGGAAAGTCCAGGGCCTGCGCGTAAAATCCTTCGGCTATACGCTATTGGTTGCCTTTTGTATATACACTGTGTTCCCAGGTCACCAGCACCTCCTCGAATATTTATTACATACACCCCCAACCTTGACGAATATCCACCATGGCTACCGTCACCGTGGTCATCGTCGGAGGCTCCTTCGCCGGCCTGAAAATTGCCCACGCTTTGCTCAAGGATGTGCCCAATGTCAAGATTGTGGTGATCAACCCATCGCGGAGCTGGTACTTCCCCATTGCTGCGCCAAGGATCTTCGCAAAGCCCACTGCCTTCCGCCCAGAGCAGTACCTCATTCCAATCACGGACATTCTCGCCAAATACCCCTCCGAGAAAGTGGAGTTTATCGCCGGGACGGCCACTGCCATTGACGTGACAGCCAAGACCGTCTCTCTGACGGAGACGGGCAGCGAAAACACCAAGTCGCTGTCCTATGACTATCTCGTCATTGCATCCGGAAGCACGACCGATGCCACTACTGGGAAGATCACCGGCACGCCCATGCCGTTTAAACAGACCGGCCGTGATGACATGAACGAGCTGATCGAGTCGTCGCAGCAGCTCATCCAGAACGCAAAGGAGATCGTCATCGCGGGCGCAGGGCCCATTGGAGTCGAGCTAGCGGGTGAACTCGCCGAGGCGGTTGAGCAGAACGGCAAGGCCGGCCAGGTCTCCATCACACTAGTCTCGGCGACGGACCGCGTGCTCCCATCGCTCAAGTCGAGCGGCAGCACCGCTGCTAGGCAGTTGCTGGAGCAAAAGAAGATCAAAGTGATCACGTCCCGGCGGGTTACTGGCGTGGAGGAATTGACGCCTAGTGACGGCACCAAGAAGTCGTGGACTGTCTCCCTGGACAACGGGGACAAACTGTCCGCTGACCTGTACATCCCCACGACGGGCGTGGTTCCCAACAACAGCTTCATTCCGGCGCAGTTCCTCGACAAGGACGGCTGGGTGAAGGTCGACAAGGAGCTGCGCGTGCAAGGGGAGGACAGCAAGGCTTCTCTGCCGATCTATGCGGCCGGCGACATCACCAACAACTGGCAGCGGTTTTCCTTCAAGGCTGTGGAGCAGGCCGGCGTGGCGGCGGCTAACCTCAAGGCTGATATCCTGGGCAAGGGTGGTCGGAAGACCTACGACCAGGGCGAGGCAGTCATGATGGTGGTGCCTGTGGGCGAGGCTGGAGGTACTGGCCAGATCTTCGGCATGACGCCGTGGAGCTTTATGGTGCGGATGATCAAGGGCAAGGATTTCTTTGTGAGCAAGGCGGCGTCGCTGATTGGGGCGTAGTAATATCGAGTTTAGAGCAGCATGATATCCAATTATAATACTACTTTGTTACTATTACTGATTGATGCCGGGAGTATACTTGGTAGGTAGCTAGTAACTATTGCCACATTATTCTATAGTTGTAACACCCCCACTTGACTGCATGTCAGATTTTTAATTCCTCGGTCCCTTGTCACCATTTAAGCACCGCCGATCCGATCGAGATGCGGGCCGGTGATTCGTTTGACCTGCAACACCCCGCTAACTGCCGCAACAGGCATCCTACTCCGTGCTTAACAATCAATCTTGACAATACGGGGTTCCTGCCTAGAAGAGCGTTGCGCCGTCGGGGTGGTGAATATCAATTCCTCCGAGACTCCACTACGTCGAAAGTGTGTCAAAATTGTGCCACAGAGATCGGACCGACCCATGGATTTGCCATGGTTGTGCAGAATGACGCAGCGAGCGAGAGCTTTGTGCCTCCCGGTGGACCGACCTCTCGTCCCTCTCGAGAAGCTTCTCCGATCACCGACCCATAATACTATTTGTTGCTTTATAATACAAACTGGTTTCGTTTCTTCACCCGAGGCTCTGCAGTTGCCCCGCTTCGAAATAACGTCGTACACTCTACGATTCCTGCTTGACTATAAAAGGTGCCGAGGTACCCGATTCCAGACAAACCCTCATTCACTCACACCTTTCCTCTCCTCTTGTACACACCACACTACTCACCCACCTCCATCATGACTTCCAACAAAGCACTCATCTTCAAAAAGATCCCCGAGGGCTACCCCGTCGCGGGGGAACACCTCACCATCGAGCCGGCCGCCTATGACGCCAATGTCGCCACGCCCGCCGACGGCGTCGTGTTGCAGTTGCTGTACACCAGTTTCGACCCCTACATGCGTGGCCGCATGCGCGCGCCCGAAGTCAAGTCCTACGCGGAACCCTTCTACCTCAACGAGCCGGTGAACAGTCGGAGCATCGCCAAGGTCGCGCGCTCGAACAATGCCAAGTTCCCCGAGGGCGAGGTTGTCATTGGAGTTTTGCCCATCCAGGAGTATGTTGCGCTGGGCGGCAAGCACCTCGGTGCCATCAGCAAGCTGGAGAACCCGCTTGGCATCGAAGATATCCGTGTGTTCCTAGGTGCGCTCGGTATGCCCGGCCTGACCGCGTACTCGTCGCTGTACGAGATCGGCAAGCCGAAGAAAGGCGAGACGATCTTTGTGTCGGCCGCCAGTGGAGCCGTGGGCCAACTGGTCGGCCAACTGGCCAAGCACGAGGGTCTGCGCGTGATTGGATCCGTGGGATCAGACGAGAAGCTCGACTTTATCACCAAGGAGCTGGGCTTCGATGGCGGATTCAACTACAAGAAGGAGAAGCCTGCCGCGGCCCTAGCGCGCCTTGCTCCCCAGGGAATCGACATCTACTACGAGAACGTCGGCGGCGAGCACCTCGAGGCCGCGCTGAATGCTATCAACAATTTCGGCCGTGTGGTGGTGTGCGGTATGATCTCGCAGTACAATTCGGCCCCGTACCCGATCACGAACATTGCCAACGTTCTGACCAAGCGCCTGGATATGCGCGGTTTTATTGTCGGTGATGCCAACATGGGTCCCCTGTATGCTAAGGAGCACCAGGAGAAGGTACAGAAGTGGATCAAGGATGGTTCCTTCAAGGCTCTCACACATGAGACTGTGGGCATTGATAATGCTAGCGAGGGCTTGATTGGGCTCTTCTATGGCAAGAACTTTGGCAAGGCCGTACTGAAGTTTTAGTGATGAGGATATGACATCTATTAAGCGTGAATTCAGGTAGGGTGGGAAATGAAATCAGCTCTTCTACTAGTAAATATGTTCAGTCCCTCGAATAATGCCTAAACTAGTAGTCCTTACGCCTATAGATCCATCTGTTGGCAGCGTTGGAGCTTGAGTGGTGAAGACACGAAGGAGACAAAGTAGAGAGATCGTCTCCAACACGTCACAGTATTCTTTGAAAGCAATTCATCTAGAAGGAATCCGGCAAAGCAAGCACAGCAGGGCTCTTTTTTCCATCTTTGCCAACTGCCCTCAGGCCAAACACGACATTGTCCCTGCTAATATCAAGGGTAGCGGTGCTCACCGTTCCAACATTTAGCGTGTGCGTCCACTATATTCGAATCAGCATCTGCGCAAACTCATGTTAACGGAGCACTCACCTGCTGGCTCGACATAGATCGCCATACGATCTCAAAGTGATCGAGCAACGGATCCTTCGGTTCAGTGTTCCAGTTCAACATAACGACGTTATCGAGTGAAGCGAAGGGCGCCTGCTCGTTCGATGCGAGAAACCCATACAACGACGCATAAGTGAAGTTCTTAGGGATGTCCGGGGCATTGGCCATACTCAGCATGCCAAGCATATTGACCTTGCCAACGCGCGCTGTGTAGTCAAAGTCCACAAACTCGATATTGTCACCGAACACAACGCCGTTCTCCTCCCGCGGGTCCTGGTGCTGATGGAAGAAATTCTCGTTCGATTCGGTGAAGCGCACGGCTGGGAAGCCCACTTCCAGGAAGGGCTCGTGGTCGCCGCCGCGGTCGAAGCGGTCGATTTTGTAGAGAATGGCCACTTCCATGTCGGTCGTGTGGGCAGCACCGGCGTTGACTTCTTGGATGAAACGGGCCAGGTTTCGCGACGGCGTGTCATCCTGGTAACCGGTGGAGATGATCTCGTCGATGGTGGCTTCTGGAAGGTCCAGGATATCAGTACCGCCCGAATAGATGCGGACCGTGTGCTGGTTCAGCTTGTTAAATGGCGCGTTGGAGCCAGTGCCGACAATATCGTTGTTGAAGTCGGCCTCGACATTGACCGAAGCATTCTTCACTGCTGTACGTTAGGCACCGGCCCAGTCGGGGAACAATCTACTTACATGTATTTGCAAGGAAGGTGGATCCGTAAAGCCCCTGCTCTTCTCCAGCCACGGCCGAGATGATGATGCTCGAGGCCGGTTGGTACTTGGCCACCGAGAGGCCAAGAATGCGCACCATCTCCAGAGCAATCGACACGGCGCTCGCATTGTCATCCGCTCCCGGAGCGTCGTTCTCGTAGTCACTGCCGTTGATCCTCCTCGAGTCGTAATGACCCGTGTAGACGATAGTGCGATTGGGGTCGATGGCACCTTTGATCTCAGCCTGGACGTTGCAGATGTCGACGCCAATGGGAAGTCCATGTTCCGGCTCAGCGGACTGGAAGTAGCACGGCATTGAAACTTTGATCAGGCCATTCGCGGGCTTAGCGTATTCTTGCATCTGCTTCAGCAGCCAATTGCGGGCTGCGCCGATGCCTCGCGATGGACTTGTCGTCGTGGATGCGGTGTGCCGTGTACCGAAGTTAACGAGCGTCGTGATCGTATGCTCGATGCGGGCAGGTTCAATCTGGGAGATCATTGACAGAATCTCGTGGTCAGTTGTCTGCGGAACGAGCGGCACCCCGACGCTGGCTGGCGGCCAGGTCCCAGCACCCCAGTTGGCATAGCCGTTGCTGGCAAATGTGGCGGGTGGAGGGAAGGAAAGCTCGCTACCGAGGGTTGCAGCTGTACTCAATAGTAGGAGAAGCGCTTGCGACACCATGATTCTAGAGGGGAAAGTGTTCGGAAGTATAGAAGGAGGTTTCAGCTCTCTAAAAGGAGGCGATCTATATGCTTCAAAACGTCTGTAGCCTGCAATTTGTACTCATGACAACCCGCCGCTTATTTCTATGTAGCAATGTCTTAGCAGCGCCTTAGACGGCTCAAGCCGCCACTATCGAGAGGGGAACAAGATTGCATCGGGGTGAAGGTTATCGGGGTTCCGAAAAAGGAAGGTGCTTATGCTAAGTATGCCGCCGAACAGGGGCCGGATCCTAGCGCTGAGCCCTAGCTGGATATACACCTATGAAGTACCAGTCCTTTCCGTTTCCCCTCATTCTTCTGCGTCCATATCATCTCTGCCATTTTGTGTATCAAGGACACTTTGCGTTCCTGGAAGGGCTAAGCTTGTTTTTGAGAGTTTAGGTAGCTGACAAAACGTTCAAGTACCATACCCAGTGCGCTAGGATTAAAGAAAAGATGCTGCAGGAATTCCAGAAAGTTGGACCAAATTTGAGGACGCAGATCACAAAGGAGGACAGCGTGCGGGATCAGATGGACTTGATTCAGAACTAATTGTAGATCGAGTAATCATGCTTGGAGATGTAACGCGAGGATGTAAAGCATCTTCAACGGATACTGCTGTTGAAACAAACAGGAAGTTGACATGACTCTCCATAGACACGACTGTCACCCTTACGCAAGCGACACAGTAAATTTTTGCCCTTCCTTTGCAGGTAAAAGCACAAACCCTCCAGTCCCCACGTTGTCCACCGTGATCTTGGCGGCATTGGTGGCTCCAATTGGAGAGCTACCGAAGGTAACATACGCTTGATTGCCTACGTTAGATGTAATCATAGCTTTGGTTAGCTTCCCAGTGCTCGACCAGGCTATATCGATCTCAAAGCCGCCGCGAGCCACAAGACCTGACACGGAACCACCTCCTCCAATTGCAGCCCATTCAGATGGAAGTGTGGGAAGGAGTCGAATCAGGTGGATCTTGTTTCCGTCACCTGTGTGAGCTGCGACGAGCTTGCCTTTATGATCTGTTGACACTGTCTCATGGCTCTGGAGGAATGCTTCTACCATGCCAGCGGGGCCTCCGAAAGTCCCATCAACCTGGAACGGCGCTGGGGGACCAGTGGCCAGCAAAGAAGTCCCAGTGGTGTAGTTTGCCAAATGCTGAGCAAGATTTGAGTATACTAGATCAGGAAGGAAAGCTCGGGCGGAGAGAGCTATCGACCAAGCGCGAGACCAGGCGGTAGAACCACCACCATTGCTGTCCAGAGAAATATCAATTAGTCAATGTCAATATATATTAAGAAAATGAGATAGGTTAAAAGTTGATCTAGACATACTCTAGGCGACGGTGAATGCTCGAAGCTGCCCAGTTGAACGTGGTCTGATTTGAAGC